ATGCAAAAAGCGAGAAGAAACAGATGAAAAAATCAATAACTTATGTAAGAACCAAAAAGAAATGAATGAAAAAATCAATAACTTAGGTAAGAACCAAGAAGAAATGAAGAGTGATATAGCTGCTATAATAAGCACCATTGAAAGTTTCAACAGTAGACTAGGAGAAGCGGAGGACCGAATTAGTAAATTAGAAGACAAGGAAGCAAAACACACCCAAACTGAACTGCAATTAGAGAAAAAAATTAAAAGACAGGAGGAGAGCCTAAGGGAGCTTTGGGACAACATGAAACAAAACACCATATGAATAATAGGGGTGCCAGAACAACAGAAAGAGGAACAAGGATTAGAAAACCTATTCGAAGAAATAATATCAGAAAACTTCCCTGAGGTGGGGAAGAAAAAAGTCACACAAGCACAGAGAGTCCCAAACAAGGGGAACCCGAAAAGACCCACATCAAGACACATCATAATTACCATGGCAAATGTTCAGGACAAAGAGAGAATCTTACAGGCTGCAAGGGAGAGACGGAAAGTTACATACAAGGGATCTCCCATTAGATTATCAAATGATTTCTCAACAGAAACACATCAGGCCAGAAAAGAATGGATGGAAATTTACAAAGTGATGCAAAGCAAAGGACTGAATCCAAGAATACTCTATCCAGCAAGGCTATCATTCAAAATTGAAGGGGAAATAAGAAGCTTCACAGACAAAAAAGGCTAAGGGAGTTTATCACCACCAAGCCAGCAATGCAAGAAATGCTAAAGGGACTGGTGTAAAAAGAAGAAATAAAAATCTCAGAAAGAAAACAGCCACACACAAAAAAGAAATGGCTACAAACAAGTATCTTTCAATAATAACTTTAAATGTAAATGGACTAAATGCTCCAACCAAAGGACATCGAGTGGTTAAATGGATAAAAAAAAATGACCTATACATTTGCTGTCTACAAGAGACCCACCTCATTAGAAGGGACTCACACAGACTGAAAGTGAAGGGATGGAAAAATATCTTTCAGGCAAATGGAAATGAAAAAAAAAAGCTGGGGTAGCAATACTTATATCGGACAAAATAGACCTCAAAATGAAGGCCATAACAAGAGATAAGGAAGGCCACTTCATAATACTAAAGGGATCGATACAACAAGAAGATATAACCCTGATAAACATATATGCACCCAATGCAGGAGCACCCAAATACATTAAAAAAAAAAACTCCTGGAAGATATCAAAGGAGAGATCGACAACAATACAATCATAGTAGGGGACTTTAATACACCACTGACATCACTGGATAAATCCTCTAGACAAACAATCCGCACAGGAATAGCAATCCTAAATGACTCACTAGATCAGATGGACTTAATTGACATCTTCAGAACACTTCACCCCAAAGCCACGGAATATACATTCTACTCAAGTGCTCATGGGACAGATTCAAAAATAGACCACATATTGGGTCACAAACAAAGTCTCCCCAATTTCAAGAAGATTGAAATCATATCAAGCATCTTCTCAGACCATGAGGCCATAATATTAGAAATAAACTACAATAAAAACAACCCAAAATACGCAAACACTAGGAAGCTGAATAGCATGTTACTAAAGATTGATTGGGTTACCAATGAGATGAAAGAAGAAATTAAAAACATCCTGGAACTAATGACAATGAAAACACAACAATCCAAAACCTATGAGACACAATGAAAGCAGTCCTGAGAGGGAAGTTGATAGCTCTACAGGCCGATCTCAAAAAAACAAGAAAAAATGGTAGTAAATCATCTAACTCTACATCTCAAAGAATTAGAAAGAGAGCAACAAGAAAACCCCAGAGTGAGCAGAAGGAAGGAGATAATAAAGATTAGAGCAGAAGTAAATAACATAGAGACCAAAAAAACAATACAGAAAATCAATGAAACCAAGAGCTGGTTCTTTGAAAGGATAAACAAGATTGACAAACCTCTAGCCAGGTTCACCAAGAAACAAAGAGAGAAGACCCAAATAAACAAAATCAGAAATGATAGAGGTGAAATAACAACAGACCCCACAGAAATACAAATGATTGTTAAAAAATACTATGAACAACTCTACTCCAACAAACTAGACAACCTGGAAGAAATGGACAAATTTCTAGAAAAATACAACATTCCAAAACTTAATCAGGAAGAATCTAAAAATCTCAACAAAGCAGTCATCAAAAAGCTTCCAGCAAACAAAAGCCCAGGACCAGACAGCTTCACAGGGGAATTTTACCAAACATTCAAGGAAGAACTAAAACCTATCCTCCTCAGACTACTGCAAAAAATTCAAGAGGGAGGAACACTTCCAAGCTCATTCTATGAAGCCAGCATCACCCTAATACCAAAACCAGGGAAAGACAACACATTGAAAGAGAATTACAGGCCAATATCCCTTATGAACATAGATGCCAAAATCCTCAACAAAATCTCAGCAAATTGGATCCAGCAGTACATCAGAAAGCTAATACACCATGTCCAAGGGATGCAAGGATGGTACAATATCCACAAATCAATAAACGTGATGCATCACATAAACAAATTGAAAGAGAAAAACCACATAATCATATCAATTGATGCAGAAAGAGCATTTGACAAAAATCCAACACCCATTTCTGATAAAAACTCTCAGCAAGGCGGGAATAGAAGGATCACACCTCAACATAATTAAAGCCATATATGACAAACACACAACCAACATCATATTCAATGGACAAAAACTAACACCATTTCCCCTAAGAACAGGGATGCCCACTCTCACCACTCCTGTTCAACATAGTACTGGAAGTATTAGCCATTGCAATTAGACAAGAAGAAGAAATAAAAGGCATGCAAATTGGAAAAGAAGTAAAATTGTCCTTATTTGCAGACGACATTATATTATACATACAAAACCCTAAAGACTCCATCAAAAAACTACTAGACTTAATACATGAATTTGGCAATGTAGCAGGATACAAAATTAACCCCAAGAAATCTAAGGCATTTCTATACACCAATAGTGACCTTACAGAAAGAGAGACTAAAAAAAAATCACATTTACCATCGCACCAAAAAAATTAAGCTACCTAGGAATAAACTTAACTAAAGAGGTAAAAGATCTCTACTCAGAAAACTACAGGACGTTGAAAAAAGAGATAGAGGAAGACATAAACAGATGGAAGAACATACCATGTTCTTGGATTGGTAGAATCAACATCATTAAAATGTCCATACTACCCAAAGCAATCTATAAATTCAACGCACTTCCCATTAAAATACTAACGGCATATTTCACAGGCCTAGAACGAACTCTCCAAAAATTCATCTGGATAAAAAAAGACCCCGAATAGCTGCAGCGATCCTGAGAAAGAACAAAGTAGGTGGGATCTCAATACCAGATATCAAGCTGTATTACAAAGCCACTGTTCTCAAAACTGCCTAGTACTGGCACAAGAACAGACATATAGATCAATGGAATAGAATAGAGAGCCCAGAAATCAGCCCAAACCAATATGCTCAATTAATATTTGACAAAGGAGGCAAGAACATACAATGGAGTCAAGATAGTCTCTTCAATAAATGGTGTTGGGAAAATTGGACAGATACATGCAAGAAAATGAAACTAGACCACCAACTTACACCATACACAAAAATAAACTCAAAATGGATAAAGGACTTAAATATACGACAGGAAACCATAAAAATACTAGAAGAATCCAAAGGCAACAAAATCTCAGACATATGCCGAAGCAATTTCTTCACTGATTCAGCTCCTAGGGCACTTGAAACTAAAGAGAAAATGAACAAATGGGACTACATCAAAATAAAAAGCTTCTGCACATCAAAAGAAACCATCAACAAAACAACAAGAAAGCCCACTGCGTGGGAAGACATATTTGCCAATGTCATATCTGATAAGGGCCTAATCTCCAAAATTTATACGGAACTCATACAACTTAACAAAAGGAAGATAAACAATCCAATCAAAAAATGGGCAAAGGATCTAAATAGACACCTTTCAAAAGAGGATATTCAGAAAGCCAAGAGACATATGAAAACATGCTCAAAGTCACTAATCATCCGAGAGATGCAAATCAAAACAACCATGAGATACCATCTCACACCTGTCAGACTGGCTAACATCAACAAATCAACAAACCACAAGTGCTGGAGAGGATGTGGAGAAAAAGGAACCCTCTTGCACTGCTGGTGGGAATGCAGACTGGTGCAGCCACTATGAAAGACAGTATGGAGTTTCCTCAAAAATCTAAAAATGGAACTCCCATTTGACCCTGTGATCCCACTTCTAGGAATATATCCCAAGAAACCAGAAACACCAACCAGAAAGGATATATGCACCCATATGTTCATAGCAGCACAATTCACCATAGCTAAGATCCTGAAACAGCCTAAGTGCCCATCAGTAGATGAATGGATTAGAAAACTGTGGTACATCTACATGATGGAATACTATGCTGCTGTAAAAAAGAAGGAACTCTTACCATTTGCAACGGCATGGATGGAACTGGAGAGCATTATGCTAAGTGAAATAAGCCCATCACTGAAGGAAAAATACCACATGATCTCACTTATTCATGGATAATAAAGACAATTATAAACTTTTGAACAATAATAGATACAGAGGCAGAGCTGCCTCAAACAGACTGTCAAACTGCAGTGGGAAGGCCGGGAAAGGGGGTGGGGGGCAGCAAGTGGGCGGGGGCGGGGGGTAAGAGGTCAACCAAGGGACTTATATGCATGCATATAAGCATAACCAATGAACATAAGACACTTGGGGGTAGGGGAGGCCAGGGGATTGTCAAGGGTGGGGGGAAAAAGGAGACATATGTAATACTCTTTGTAATACTTTAAGCAATAAAACAATTAAAAAAAATAAAAATAAAAATAAACTTCCAGCATGTTGACGTTTGTACATATGTGCTTTTAAAAAATATTTTTATTGATTACAGAGAGGAAGGGCGAAAAAGAGAGAGATAGAAACCTCAATGATGAGAGAGGATCATTGATTGGCTACCTCCTGCAAGCCCCCTACTGGGGATGGAGCCTGCAGGCCGGGTATATGCCCTTGGTCTGAATCCACACTGGGGCCCTTCCTCAGGCCAACGCTCTATCCACTGAGCCAAACCGGCTAGAGCAGACTATGTCATTTAAGGTTCTGGGAGCCGCCCCCCGTTTTCCAGGAGGAGAAATTGAATGTCAGGCAGGACACACGACCACGAAAAAGCTAGAGCCACAATGCAGAGCGAGTGGTCATTTGCAAACCCCGCAGCTGCGCGCCAGGGTCCTCCTCAGAGCCACCCGCACCTCCTTGTTGCGCAGAGTGTACACCAGCGGGTTCAGCAGCGGCGTGACCACCGTGTAGAAGACGGCCACCAGGCGGTCCTGGGCAGGGTTTCCTGCGGACGCGGGGCGCAGGTAAATGATGGAGGCACAGCCGAAATGCACGATGACCACAGTGAGGTGGGCGGCGCAGGTGGAGAAGGCCTTGCGCCGGCCAGCGGCCGCAGGGATCCTCACAATGGCAGCCACGATGAAGGCATAGGAGAGGAGGATGAGGAGGAAGGAGATCAGCACCACCAGGACGCTGAGGAAGAAGATGCCCAGCGCTTTGCCTGTGCTCTGGGCGCAGCTGAGCTTCAAAACAGGGGCAATGTCGCAGAAGTAGTGCTCCACGCGGTCGCTGTGGCAGAAGGGCGACGAGAAGATCATGCTGGTCTCGATCAGGGACACTGAGAACCCCAAACAGAAAACCAGGGCTCCCAGGCAGAGGCAGACTGTGGGTCTCATGATCACCGAGTACCGCAGCGGGTGGCAGATGGCTACGAAGCGGTCATAACCCATCAGGGTCAGGAGGAAGCAGTGGCTGCAGCCCAGGCCCAGGAAGAAGAACATCTGAGCCCGACAGCCAGCAATGGAGACGGCCTGGCTCTCCACGAGCAGATGAGCCAGCATATTCGGGATGGTGACCAGCGTGTAGCAGGTCTCCGACAGGGACAGCACCGCCAGGAAGCGGTACATGGGGGTGTGAAGGGTCCGATCCACATGGATAATGGTGATGATGGTGGCATTGCCACTGAGGGTGACCAGGTACATGAGGAAGAACAGCGTGAAGAGGGTGGTCCTCAGGTGTGGGAGGTTGGAGAAACCCACCAGCACAAACTCTGTCACCAGCCAGGTGGCATTTTCCCACTGCTTCTTAGGAGTCTGAGGAGAGAGGGCTGAGAAAATGCAATAGACCAAGTTACTGAGGGTCAGCTACACATCCTTGTTCTACAAAAAGGAAAAGAGAGACTCGGAAAGGGTGTCACACAGACAACAGGGTGGTGATGGGGGAGGTGGGGCGCAGTGGAGGTGGAAAAGTGTGAAGGGGGGACAAATGGTGAGGGGGAAAAAAAGAAATGATGTCACTTGTTTTCCTAATATCACCCAGCTAACAAGTGTCTCTTTAATAACAAGAAAATCATAGATGTGGGAACAGCCTAAGTCAGCCGTGGGCAAACTACAGCCCGCGGGCCGGATCCGGCCCATTCGGCTGTTCTATCTGGCCCGCGGAGCCGAAAGAGCGGAGGGTTCTCTTGCTCTCCCCTCTGCTCCTTCACCAGCAGCAGTGTTAACATGGCAATGTCGGGAAACACGGCCGCAGGTCCTTCTTCTGAGTCCAGTTTAAGAACCCATTGTGGCCCTCCAGTCAAAAAGTTTGCCCACCCCTGGCCTAAGTGCTTTTCAACAGGTAAGTGGATAGCGGAGATGTGGTGATATATGCAATGGAATAGTATTCAGGCACTGGAGGCCCGATGCAGGAAGATTCGGGCAAGAATGGGCCTTCCTTCCCCTGGTTGCCAGCACCGCCTTCTCTCCCTCCTGCCGGAGCCACCTTCCCACCTTCCCACGCTGCCCAGAGGCCCAGAGCGATTGGGGCGGTGCTGAATGCCTGCCTCCGGCCCCCCCACCACTCTGCGCCTGCCTATGCAAATTAACCCGCTATCTTTGTTCGGTTAATTTGCATGCTCATTCCTGATTGGCTGGTAGGTGACGTGAAGGTACGGTCAATTTGCATCATTCTCTTTTATTAGTGTACATGAGAGAGACTGAAATCTTGCCATATGCAACAACATGGGTGGACCTTAAAGGCATTATTCTAAGGGAAATAAGTCAGACAAACACCATTTGATCTCACTCATATGTGGAATCTGAAAAAGTTAAACTTTCATAAAAACAGAGTGAAATGGTGGTTGCCAGGGGCTGAAGGGTGGAGGAAGAGGAGAAATATTGTTTAAGGATATAAACTTTCAACTAGGAGATAAATAAGTCCCAGAGATCTAAGGCATAGAAAATGAATATACACAACAATATTGTAGTATAATTATCAAACTTTCTAAGAGACCAGATCTTAACTATTCCCACACACAAAAAAATGATAATTTTGTGACACGACCGAGGTGCTAATTATTGGTACAATGGCCATTACGTTACAACATATGAAAGGATCACATTAGCATGTTATACACCTTAAACTTACACAGTGTTACAGGTCAAATACATTCCAATTTTTTTAAATATATTTTTATTTATGTCAGAGAGGAAGGGAGAGAGAGACACCAATGATGAAAGAGAATCATTGATCAGATCCAGCCTGCAACCCCGGGCATGTGCCCGGGCCAGTAACCAAACCGTGACCTCCTGGTTCATAGGTTGAAGCTCAACCACTGAGCCACGCCCGCTGGGCAAATACATTTCCATTTTTTAAAAAGAAAAGAAAATCACAAAAATCTGTAAGGAATAGATACTGATACTGGGATTAGGGAGAGGTGGTAAGAACACCAGGGCCTTAATCTGAGTCCCCTAGACACAGATACTGAGGCAAGGATTCAAGAGCAAATAGTTTATCTAGACCAGTGGTTCTCAACCTTCCTACTGCCGCGACCCTTTAATACAGTGCCTCATGTTGTGGTGACCCCCAACCATAAAATTATTTTCGTGGCTACTTCATAACTAATTTTGCTACTGTTATGAATCGTAAAGTAAATATCTGATATGCAGGATGTATTTTCATTGTTACAAATTGCACATCATTAAAGCATAGTGATTAATCACAAAAACAATAGGTAATTAAATGTGTTTTCTGATGGTCTTAGGAGACCCCTGTGAAAGGGTCGTTCAACCCCCAAAGGGGTCGTGATCCACCGGTTGAGAACCACTGATCTAGACCATCATCCTGCAAAACATAGGCGGGAGACTGGGGGAGGGAGAGACATAACAAAGGCACGTTGTCAAGGAAATTACCACTGGCAACTAGACTTTAATCCCACCTGAGGAACCCTAAGGGACAGTGAGGAAACTGGGGTGTTTACCCATCAACTCCCTTTTGCCATTGCTTGAGAGTTCCTACCAGGAGACAGTAATCGCCCAGCACTTCTAATTTGCCACCATGTGCAGAGAATTCAAGGACATAATAAAAGCCAAGGGGGTGAGGGCCAAGTATTTACTCCTGTGTCTGCTACAGTTCAAATGCCCGAGAAAGGCAAAGCTTGTAACACTGTCATTATCTACATTTTTTTTTTAAATGTTTATGCTTTAGGGCTGCATTGGTGTAAAGATGAATGCACGCTTCAATCCTAAAACTGCATTTATTCCTTCTGATCTTAAAAGAAATTTAAACAACATCATGGGCCCTCTTAATAGTAAGGCGGGCCCCAGGCATTGTGCCCCATGGACACATCTCTATTCATTAAATGGAACATAAGTCTGAAATAATGGGCCATTTTAATTGAAATTATGAGACTTCAGTAGAAATAGTGAATGGTTATCATCAATTACTCTCTACCTCAGAAAAAAAAAGATACAGTATCAATATTAGAGTATTTCTAGGGTATTTTTCACTCACTTGGAACATGGGACTCTGCTTTAAGGGAGATGGTCCAATGCAGTGTCTCCCTGCTTATTGAGAGTTAATTGGTTGAGAGATAAACATAGTTCAGCCTGGGGGGCCTCAGACACCAATCAGAGACAAGAAGGTGGGGTCCACAGAGAGCAGAGTCCTGATTTATCCGCCATCTAGTGGCACGTGGGGTGATCTGCAAACCAGTGATCCTTACAGGAAGAGAAAAAAAATGAATGACTGTGCCCCTGAAAATACTCACCCACAGCAATGGGGCCAGAGAAATTGACAAGGGCCATCTAAATGTCTTGGAAGTTTGCTGCAAGTTTAATTCTGCAAAAATCAATTAAGGGAAGAATGTTCTAACTCCTCACATTGAGAAACATCCCTTCAAAATGACCTGTAAATGGCAGACAGGAATAGCTCAGACCTTCTCAGGCATCTTAAAGATGCACTCCGTGTAGGCGTCTCTTCTACCACAACCATCCACCCTCCACTCGCAGGCCTCCAAGGACAAGAAAGTCACTCCCTGACAAACATCCCATGACGTGGAGCAGAAATTCTGTGCTCAAAACAGCCCTTCTGGTGCCTGCAGGGACAACCACGCCGAGCTCTGGAATCAGACAGGCCTACGTTTGAATGTGGGTGCCTGCACCTACGAGGGCAGTGTGTCCTTGGGCAGCTGGTTTGGGCCCTGGGAGCCCCATCTATGAAAGTGGGGACGGATCCGTGAGCTCTCAGATAAGAGTTTGAAAGATGCCCTGAACAATGCTACAAACCCTGTGGTCTCAGAATTCTTGCAAGGAGAGACGGGATTGTTGTTCCCAGCTTTGCACTGCTGAGGAGGCAGAGCATATAGGGATAATCTCTCATCTCACCATGGTGGTGCCGGGAGTCAAAGCCAGGACTGTGTCGCTGGAGGGTGTACTTTAACGGGCTGTGAGTCTGCAGGCTCCTTTTCATCCCACACTTATTCATTGAGCACCTGTTCTGCGCCGGGTGCTGCTCTGGGCACTGAGGACACAGCAGGGAACTAAACAGGCAGAGATCCCAGCCTTGGAGGAGCAAAAATTTCTAGAGACGTGAACCAGGCAATAAATAAGGAACGCGATAAGTAAATAAGTGAGAGGGCATATCGGACAATAAGTGCCGCCGAGAGAGAGAAGCACTGCACTTAAAGGGTAATCGAGGGGTCTGAGGAGGGTGGCAATTTTACAGAAGATGGCCAGGAAACGGCTTGTTGAGGCTTACTGTTCAGTCACTCAGAATTCCTTGTTTCCCCTCCCTCGTTTTCAGATCTCACAGGTAGGGCTGGGGAGGGGCCAAGGTGGCTTCTCCAGCAAAACAGAGGCCCTGAATTCACACTTGAAAGAAAAGGGAAAGAGACCAACCAATGAAGTTGTTTGCATACGTGCCTGACCCTTGGACAGACAGTGGAGGGGGGTGAGGGCCTACAGAAGGGGAAGGGTGCAGGGAGGGGGGGAAGGGGGAGTGGAGGAGGGAGGATGGGAGCAGGCTGGAAGACATTAATGGAGGGAAAGCAGGACCTATGTAATACTTTCAACAATAAAGAAAAAAAGGAAAAAAAAGAAATGAGCAAATGAGTCAAGAGAATCCTAGGGGAAGGAAGTGTCCTAGGTAGAGGCCTAAGCCAGTGCAAAGGCCCTGAGCAGGACTGTGCCTGGAACAGGAGCAGCAGGAGGGAGAGAGGGGCAGAAGGAGGAAGTGAGAGGGAGGGGATGGGGGTGGGAGGTGATGGGAGCATGTTGCTTAGGGTCTTGTGGGTCTCAGTGAGGACTTCAGCTTCTACACCTAGTGATGTGGGAGCCACGGAGGACTCTGAGCAGAGGAGGGACCTGACCTAACTCGGGTGTTCCCGGTGCCCTCTGGCCACTGTGGGAGAACAGAGTTTGGGGAACATGAGTGGGAAGGATGAGGGCTGGGCCAGGGAGGTGGTGAGAGGTGGCCATTTATGGACAGAGTGTGCAGGTGGAGCCCACTAGATTTTATGACAAGATGTGGGTGTGAGAGAAAGAAGTGGGTGGGAGCTGGCAGAGCTGCAACAGGAGGGTGGGGTGGGGCCCATCCTGTCACAGGTCAGAGGAGACTCTGTTCAGCTCTGGGAATGCCAGAGGCAGGCACACACCTAACATAGTGGACACATACGGTCATCCAGGCCCCGGGCCACCCTCGCCACAGAGGTGGCATGTGTGCCAGCCCCTTGCACACACCTCAGAGAGAGGGAGGAAGGGGGACTTCCTGGATGAGGCTGAAATTGATCCCTGCAACACTTGAGAAGCTGTGACTTTGAGTTTGCCTCAAAGTGTCCAAATTGTGACAGGTGAGTGTCTGGCCAAAAGGAAGTCAGCTTACAGGACGAGGAAGTTCTTTTTTTTTTTTTTTTTTAAATATATTTTATTGATTTTTTACAGAGAGGAAGGGAGAGAGATAGAGAGTCAGAAACATCGATGAGCGAGAAACATCGATCAGCTGCCTCCTGCACATCTCCTACTGGGGATGTGCCTGCAACCCAGGCACATGCCCTTGACCGGAATCGAACCTGGGACCTTTCAGTCCGCAGGCCGACGCTCTATCCACTGAGCCAAACCGGTTTCGGCGAGGAAGTTCTTATTTGCATACCTGGAACCCATGAAAATCGCACCTATGGCGAGATCCCCTGGCCAGCTGCTGGCTTGGTGGGAGAGTTAGGAGGAGGCAGCAGGTACTGAGCTCAGGGTCAGGCCCATGGCACTGCCAGGGAGAGGGTAAAGGATGAGGAACACACAGGGACTGGAGCTTTCTTTTTCCTCTTCCACTTTCTTCTCATCAGGAAGCTCTCCCGGAAGCAGGAGCCCCTGCCCCACCACCTTTAAGCCCTTGCTGCTGAGTAACTCAATGAGCATGTGTGCATTCACGCCTAGGAAGCTCCAGGATATATGCCTGCTTGTGTGTGCCTGCTGCTTGCAGAGCATGCGTGTATGCATTTGGTGCCCCATGTGCTCAGACCACACATGAGCTGGGGGTGGGCTTGGGCGGCTTCTCCAGCTCGGCAAAGGCCCGATTTCATACTCACCATGGCCAAGGGAGCTTCCTGCCTGCATCGCTCACTGCTTGCAGCCTAAGAGGGGGAGGCTGAGGACCTGGGCCCTGTTATACATGGATCCCTAGAGCTACTGTCTCAGGGGCCCCCAGCCACTAACAAGCCCCCCAGGGCTCGGGCTGGAGAGACCCTATGGGTTTCTCTCCCTCCTGGAAACTGGAGACCCCAGGGTCCACTTCTCCGGCCCCCAGGCTCTGGTGGCAAAAAATGGGAAAGGACTAATGATGATTTCTTGTTGTGGATGGCTGTCACAAATGCTCTCTCCACCCCATCAGTGCTCCCCAGGGCCTGTCAGTGCCCACCCTGCTTGGCAAAGCTGCTACCCAAAAGAAATGCACCTTGAACCCTGCCCTAAAGGAGGGAAGGAGGAAGTGGATCCCTTGGTGTTGTTATGCAAATGTTCCCCAGGCTCAACTTCTTAGAGTGACCACAGCCCCTCGATCCCTCTCCCTGTTCTCAGAATTAGTCGCCAAATCTTCTCTACTCTTCCTCCCCAAGTTCCCATCCCATCAGCCCCACCCGAACTCAGGCTACGACATTCCCACCCATTGTAAAAGTTTGCAGCATCGCCCTGACCGGTTTGGCTCAGTGGATAGAGCGTTGGCCTGCGAACTCAGAGGTCCCAGGTTCAGTCCTGGTCAAGGGCATGTGCCTTGGTTGCGGGCACGTCCCCAGTGGGGGGGCAGGGGGGGGTGGGGGGGGACGCGAGGCAGCTTATCAATGTTTCTCTCTCATGGATGTTTCTAACTCTCTATACCTCTCCCTTCCTCTCTGTAGAAAATCAATAAAGTATATTTCTTTTAAAAAATCTTTGTTTTAAAAAAAAAAAGTTTGCAGCATCACCTTCCTCTAGTCTGTCCTCTGCACCGGCCTCCAGAACAGGAGTCCTGGCTGTGTTCCCTCTCTACTCAGGGACCTTCCAATGCCCCCCATTACCCTCAGAGTAAAGTGTAAAATTCCCCATCTTCACATTTAAGACCCTGTGATCTGGTCCCTGGTACCGTCTCCAGTTCCAAATCCATTCATTGCTCCATGAAAACTGTCACAAATCCGTTTAGTACATTAGCAACAAGAAAGTGAGGCATAGCTCTAGCTAGTTTGGCTCAATGGATAGAGCGTCAGCCTGTGGACTGAAGGGTCCCAGGTTCGATTCCAGTCAAGGGCACATGCCCGGGTTGCGGCCTCAGTCCCTAGTGGGGGGCATGCCGGAGGCAACCAATCAATGATTCTCTCTCATCATTGATGTTTCTATCTCTCTCTCCCTCTCCCTTCCTCTCTGAAACCAATAAAGATATATTTAATAAAAAAAAAAAAAAAAGAGTGGGGAGTTAATTTTAAATCGGTACAAGATGGCGGAAGGGGAGGAGGTGGCGTGGAGGCAGCAGCCGCACCTGGAGCTGCGGCGCAGGCGGCGGACCAGCGACCCCGGCACCGAGGTTAACCACGTCTCGTCCACGACCTCGCTAGGCGAGGATTATGAAGATGAGAACCTAGTAAACTCTGATGAGGTTATGAAGAAACCATGTCCAGTACAGATTGTTCTTGCTCATGAGGATGACCATAACTTTGAGCTTGATGAAGCAGCTTTGGAGCAGATATTGCTACAGGAGCACATTCGTGATCTTAACCTAGTGGTAGTATCCGTGGCAGGAGCTTTTCATAAAGGGAAATCATTTCTACTGGACTTCATGCTTAGATGTATGTATAACAAGGATCATCAAAGTTGGATTGGTGGAAACAACGAACCATTGACTGGCTTTACATGGCGAGGTGGTTGTGAAAGATAAACAACAGGCATACAAGTCTGGAATGAAGTGGTTGTGATTGACAGACCTGATGGAACAAAAGTGGCTGTGCTGCTAATGGATACTCCGGGTGCCTTCGATAGCCAGTCAACAATCAAAGACTGTGCAACAGTGTTTGCTCTGAGCACTATGACTAGCTCAGTCCAGGTATATAATTTGTCTCAGAATATTCAAGATGATCTTCAGCACTTGCAAGTAAAGCAAAATCAGCATGAAGAGCTACAGAATGTAAGGAAGCACATTCGCGATTGTTTCTCAAATCTTGGTTGCTTCCTTTTACCACATCCTGGTCTTAAAGTTGCAACTAATCCTAGTTTTGATGGGAGATTGAAAGACATTGATGAAGACTTTAAACGAGAGCTTCGAAATCTGGTGCCATTGCTGCTTGCCCCTGAGAATTTGGTGGAAAAAGAGATAAGTGGATCTAAAGTCACTTGCAGGGATCTTGTAGAATATTTTAAGGCTTACATTAAAATTTATCAAGGAGAGGAACTTCCACATCCAAAGTCCATGCTTCAGGCAACAGCTGAAGCTAATAATCTTGCTGCAGTAGCAGGAGCAAGAGAGATTTATTGCAGAAATATGGAACAGGTATGTGGTGGAGACAAGCCTTACATTGCACCTTCAGATCTGGAACGAAAACATCCGGACCTCAAGGAAGTGGCAATTAAACAGTTTCGTTCAATGAAAAAAAAAAAATGGGTGGAGATGATTTCTGCCGTCATTATCAGGACCAGCTTGAAGCTGAAATAAAGAAACCTATACAAATTTCATAAAGCACAACGATGGCAAAAATATCTTCTGTGCTGCTCGTACACCTGCCACACTTTTGCAGTCATGCTTGCTATGTATATAATCTCAGGACTGACTGGCTTCATCGGTCTAAACTCTATAGCCGTCTTGTGTAACCTGGTCATGGGTTTGGCACTGACATCTCTTTGTACTTGGGCATATGTTAAATACTCTGGGGAGTTCAGAGAAATTGGAACAGTGATTGATCAGCTTGCTGAAACACTGTGGGAACAGGTATTGAAGCCCCTGGGTGATAATTGGATGGAGGAAAACATAAGGCAGTCTGTAACAAACTCTATCAAAGCAGGCCTGACTGACGAGGTGTCTCATCATGCCCGGTTAAAGACAGACTGACAGTTCATCTCCTCATGGACTCCACTCTCCCTCTTGTTCATGCTTGCTGTACAATGAGAACTCAAATACAAATAAACCAAAGTTTACAATCAACTGTAGAAGTAGTTTAGTACAACTGGCTTCACAGGTGGCTGCCACAGAGTGTGAAAATTGTTGGTTGGTTTTAAGCATTCTGTTCATGGCTCCTAAGGCATGGAAATTGGCTGAGGAGCATTAGTTTATCATGCACATTTGTGCCATGTTTTTAAATCTTTCTTTTCCTTTTTACTTAAGCTAATGTTAGTGAAATTTGTTTTATGTAAAAGGATATTTCAGGGAAATATTTTAAGAAATCTATTTAGAGTCTCTCTAACAGTGTCCCATTGAATTTTAATTTTTAGAGAAGCTATGAATCACTGTATAAAGAATCAGATTGGAATGACAATGAAGCCTTTATTGAGCCACTACATTAAAAGTATATATTGCTTTACTGCCTTCAATACCAGTATTACATAAATGCATGTATCAGAAACTTCACAGAAAATACATGACAACTCTTGTAGCTAAGAAAGTGATTCTGAGGTGTACATTTGTCTTGCCTTTTGAAATTTATAAACCTGCCCTAAAAGGAGATGCATATCTGGGAATCTGAACTGTCATGCGGTTTAACCTTCATGTACATAAAATATGCCATTAATTTTATTGGGGGAGGAATTCCATCCAAAAATGTTGCCTACAGCTATGAGTTAAGAGTGTCTGTACAGTGTGTAGCTTTTATTTTCTAAACTCACAGATAGGGCATGTATATGAAATATAAATATATAAATAACAATTTTGTATTAAAAGTTTTGTAGTTTATGGCAAAATCTGGCTCTGTGGTAGGCTAATAAGTACAGTCCCTGTGAAGGAATGTTTGTGGCTCACGTCGGTGTGTGAATGCATAAACTATTTGAAGTTTTTGATATATTTGTGATATTTATCTTCCTTGAGCACTGCAATCTCACCCCCAAGGGAATCCAATGGGAATGTTTATTGTGACTTTGTTCTCTGTTGCATTTTAAAGTTATTTCCTGTAATTTATTTTCAGTACATAATTAAAAATTTGTTGTATATATAAAAAGAAAAAAAGAAAGAAAGAGAGGCATAGACCCAGCCATTCCAAACTGCTGACCCTTCCTATGAGACCTCCATGCTGTATCCCACCATTGTGCCCCTCCCTATGCTATTTCTTTTCCCCTCCTCTTACCCTCCTGGCAAACTCCTAGCCCTGCTGAAAGACACATCTCAACCAGAAAGAAGATAAACATACATCGTTAGCCATTCATCTATTGACTGACATTAGGTTCTTTCCATATTTT